GAGAATATTATCAGCGGCTACCGTGCACTCGCCAATATTAGCTTTCATCTTTTGGGCTAAGTCTGGGGGAAATCCACGCTCCCCGTCGCGCACAGAATCACGTGCACGGCGCCAATCGCCATCGCTTTGCACCCCTCTTTTCCACAGCGTTTGCAGCTCATCTTCGTCAAATAATACTGCCTTAGCAGCTGAGTCTAGTTCCTCTTCACTGGGCTCGATATTAACTGGATTAACAGGCAGATGTGGCAACAATTGCATTATGCGTCCCGCAGTTCTCTCATCGTTTAATCCGGTCGGCTTATCCTGATCTCGACGTGACAGGGCATCTGGTCTTTCGCAGATGTTTCCAGGCCGCCATTCCAACACGTACTGAAATTGCTGCAAAATATCGTTGTATCGTACCTGCCGCTCATTTAGAAGACGTTTTGATGCGAAATAATTCAGGTTTTTGTGGTCGCTCCAGATTTTAAACGGCTTAGCTACTGACTTCAATTCTGCCTGCCATTCCCGCAAGCATGCTACAATAGCGAGCATCTCCTTGTCATGAATTGGGTAATTCGCCTCCGCGCTTGTTAGCCGTCTCGAATAGTACGCTACTGGCCGCAATCTACCCTGCTTGTCTATCTGAGATAGACAACCTCCCATAGCATAACCTGAGCAGTCAGCTTCAAGCACCGTATCACGATCTGGATCCCACTGTGCTAAAGCTGGTTGGGATGCGAAAATTCTTTTCAATCTTTTAAAGGCGTTGTTTTCCGCATCACCCCATTACCATATCGAATCCTTCTTTGTTAGAGCAGTAAGTGGTGCCGCAATCTCTGAGAATCCATCAACAAAACATCGATAGAAATTCGCGAACCCTAGGAACGACCGAACACTTTTAACAGTCAATGGCGGGTCCCATTCCAAAATTGCCTTGACTTTGACTGGATCCACCTTTATTCCTTCACCGGCATGAATTATGAATCCCAGGTATTTGACCTCTTGACACAGAAACTCGCATTTGCTAATGTCTAGGTATAGCCCTGCCTTGCTCAACTTACCAAGAATACTTCGCACCGTATCCCAATGATCTTCTTCACTGCCACTAGTGTAAGCAAGTACATCATCCATATAAGCCGTTGCATCGAGATCCAAGTGTTCACGCAGCTGTTCATTGATATATCTTTGAAAAGTAGCGGGCGCATTAATCAAACCAAAAGGGGTCACGAGCCACTCAAATAGTCCCAGTCTACATCGAAATGCTGTCAGCCATTCGTCTCCTTCTCTGATTCGAAGACGATGGAATGCAGATTTGACATCCAACTTCGTGAACCATCTTGCCTTCGACAGCTGCCGAAGAGTTTCCTTGAACAAGGGTAGAGGGTACCGGTCAGGTGTGGTTATTGCGTTCAACCCTCTATAGTCAACACACAATCTCAAACCTCCATTAGGTTTTTTTGCAAATAGCACTGGTGCTGCTGCTGCCGAGTTACTAGGGCGAATCCAGCCCTTCTGTAACAATTCCGTCAACGTCTTGCGTAGAACAAGTAGTTCTTCCCGAGACATTCCATATAGTGGCCCCCAAGGCGGAGAAAGAGGCTTGCCATCCTGTTGCTGAAGGTTTATGGCATGATCTAGGGTACCACGTAGTGGTGGCAATTCGTCGGCCCCACTACCGTCCGCAAAAAGGTGCGCAAATTCCTTTACCTGCTCTGGCAATTCGTTTTGCGCTTGCTCTTTTGTAACGCCTGGTTTCGTGCGTAAAGCTTTATTTATGTCATCTAGAGATGCTTTACAGACTGGCACTTTTTTGATCATAGATACCATCTTATCGACAGGTATCATTCTCGGGCGCGCGATGTTGCGTAGGGCATTTCTCCAGCGCTTAACACTGTGTACTGAGAGACCATTCTTTCGAATCTCCAATCGTTGTTCTTTCGCATGAATCACGGCATCTTGGTCTTCGAGCCACTTCTTTCCAAGTATCATTTGATGCGTACAATGTGGGACGATGTACATCCATATCTTTGGCATCATGTACCCGTCTAAATCTAGAGAGATGTGTGTGATACTATCGACTATAGGCTTATTAGTTGTTGAATCTTCGGCCGTTTCCAAAGAGCGAGGGTTAATACGTATGCACGGCAGTTGTAACTTAGAAGCGAGATCATCATTAATAATTCCGGAGCACAAACAACCATTATCCACTAATGCTTGCACCATATTAGAATCATTGATTAAAGCATTAATTAAAAATGGAGTTGTATTCATAATTATTTCCTGACTAACAACTGCCTTAGGCTCCTGAGTGCGACTTTGCTCAGGAGCATCTAGTTTTCCGAAAAATATTGACCCAATGCCTCATTTTCGTCTTCGTCCTCCATTAATAGCCGTAAATCGATTGCCGGGAGAGAAGCTGGTGAGGCTGAAATACCAACAGCACCTGGTTTTCGCGCAGGCAATACAGGGCAGACTCTCGTGCTACAGCCCTGACGCTCGCATCGAAAACACTTACCCTCCCTTTGGAGTCTCTGGATTTGATCTGGCGACTTCCATCTTGCACGTAGCGGCTTGCCATTCGCACCCCGTGCTACATTAGCAGAGTTTACACCTCCCATGAAAGTATCGCCCGCTGTATCAACTTCCCCGACAATTCTGCGTGTATTGTTAGAAGGCCTCCATCCTGCGTTAAATTTCCCTCCACGGTTAATATGGCCTACTTCACGGCGACCCAAGCCATTGACGCTTTGATTGTTCCTGGAACGGTCCAACCCTTCTGACGTGACCCAACCCCCACTTCGGTTCGGTTGAACATCTATCTCTTCGTGCTGATGTGATATCTGTCCAACAATTTTAGTCCATGCAAAGAAGTCGTTCTGCGGTAGAAGATGGTTGCTGGCCAAGGCTTTTCGAAGAGTTTTATTTAATGCACCACGGAGCATGGTGATCTTGGTCTCGTCAGGCCACATATCACCTCTCCCTTCTGTAAGCTTATTTGACCAGGAGGGAAAAAAGGTATTCCACTCCTGGTATTCTCCCATCTTTAATTTTCCCAATTCTGTCCTAGCATGGGTGATTCGAGTGAGGTCCCAGTTGCTATGGTCCAAGAATCCGATGAAATCCTCCGGGCTCTCCATTCCGTTCTTCCCTCCGGTCTCGAAATATGAACCGGCCTCCTCTTGAGCCATTCCCTCCAAAGAATTGTAGATCATCAAAAATACTTGCTGGTCACTATATTCGAATGTGTTCCAGTCGAGACGTAATGCAGACAGCACAGCTTTTCTCCATGCGGGGTATTTCTTCCTATTGCCATCGTAAGAAGGAAGTTGGTTAGGTTTTAATTTACCATTTTTCCTCGCTGGGTCTTTGATTATCTCAACCTCCGAAGTTTGATCGGGGGTCCTGCTAGGCAATGCCGAGATTCCTAATTGCATTCGAAGGCTAAGGTTTTCCTCCTTCAAGAAATTGTTTTCAGACAAGGCTGAATTTAACTCGTTAGACATTCTTCGTCTTCCGTTAATCGTGTTTTCTCTTGTATCGTCTTTCATATTGTCTTCCGTATCGTTTTTCGTATCGTCGTTCGTCGTTCGTCGTGAATGGTGAGTTTTTGAGAGATTGAAATATGTCACAGTCTAAACATAGGCACTTGGGCCACCTTATGGTCAGAGGTAGCTTTAATTTCAATCTATGGTGAACTACAGATTGAAGAGGATAATAACAGTTACTTTATACATGATTATTATCCCAGCCAATGACACAGATTTCTATCCGTATATCCGTATTCCTTACTTGTATTCCCTACTCATATCCCCTACTCGTATCACATTCTCGTGCCCCATCCCCGGACGTGTTACAGTATTATTATTGCCACTTATAAGGCCCTCCTTGTTTCATGCTAAGCCTGCGTTAGACAGCGCAGGCTACAGGCAATTACCGGTTTACAAGCCGTCACAGTTTTGTACACTTACTAGTTCACTGGGCTTCAATCAGATTCTAGGTCAATCTCTGGAGTTTGAAAGGAATTGGAATAGAATTAAATTATTGTAGTTGTCAGGAATGCCTACTATATGATCTATATATGTAGAGATAACCTGTGTCTAGTGTTCTATGATTCTGGTCTGGCCTTTTGGTCAAGTGGTTGTGCACCTTTCTCATGCAAAATGTAAGGTGGTAACCTCCTATCTGGTATTCTGTCCGTGGTATTTGCCTCGGCTCCGCTGTCTACATGCTGTTTCTGGCAGTAGTCTGTAGCATACTGCGACAAAGTATGATTAGTTGAGGTATTTTCATATTGAAAGCTCCCCAGTTTACAGTCTTATTTGAATTCCTAGATATCCAAGAATCAGAAACCAAGTCTTTGTTGTTATTATTTTTCTTTACCATCATGTGTCCAAGGTTCAACGCCTACCAATTCAAGTTAAGTAGTCAAGTCCCAAGAGAACCTGATACAAACTTATTTGGTACAAAGTGAGAAGTGGTGCTAAAATTGGTGCTTCTAGTTATGGTAAAGACAGGGATATGCAGAATACATGTAGCTAATTTTTTGTTGATTGTGAGGTTGATATTATTGCACTCTGATATAAAGGCCAACATATAAATTTTCTTATTACAGAATATAGTTTATATAGCACTTTGTGTCCTAGTTGGAGTAATTATCAAATCTCCACAATAGATTCACAGACTCTCCTATTTCCTCATATGCTTCATCAATAGATATAATTTGTACCCAACTGCTATAAGCATTTGCAATCCTCTCCATTCAACATAAATGTCCTTTGATCAAAATTAAGTATCTCTGTTCATAATTTTGCTCAAGTACCTTTGCTTAGACTGTGGTAATAGATTTTACTGTATATATAATGTGGTAACACATTGTCAATTTTATATAGAGGTAAAGAATTTTATTTCTATTACCTGATCATAATCCAGCAAGGCTTACAATTCAGTACCTATATACTTGCATATTCCTTAAATATTCCATGTGTTGAAATTACAGTTTAGTCTTGTTAATTAATATTTTATGCACTCACACATTCTTGACCACCATCTATATCTGAAAATACATTGACAGTGTCTCTCAGCGGGCCGAACACAGCACGGTACTTAACAGGTCCTCCTGCAAGTAAAATTAGTATTGGTATTTTTAAATAAATAATTCATGTTTAAAAAAAACAAACCTCTCCAGATTTTTAGTGTATCTGATAGTGGAAATTCGAGACAACCTGCACAGCCTTTTGCTCCAGGACTTGGCATATACGGTTTTGGGTATCCATCAATTGATCCTAACTGTAAAACAAAGACCAGATTCATCACCCCAACAATATGATCGGAAGTGAATATCACGCCCTTGCAATTAAAGCCTGCTGCAGCTACATTTGTTTCGAACATACTAATAGCCAAGGTGGTAGAAAATATTTTAAATAATTTCATGTTGATACTGCACTCTACTAGACTTATTAGAAGATTATCTGGCTTAGTGTAAGATTACTGTATCTGACTTCTGGAAAACTTGTGGTTTAACCTACCTGATATTCAAGAGTTTAAATTGATATACTGATTTATGAACAAGTATTGAAGTTTTTTAAGTGGCAAAAGCTGATGTTAATTATTGAAGATTTAATTTTCAAGACAGAGGACTAGTAAATGAAGAGTTTGCAGATTTCAAAATGGAGAATCATCTGTCTCTTATAGTAATAAAGATTTGAGAAAGTATCCTTGGTGCCAGCTATTATTGTTATCAATTACACAAGCTCCAAAATAGATTTTCAATACATTACTCACAAGTATTAACTTACTGATAAGCAGACCATTATTTTCCCACAGCCAAGATAGAATAAGCCGAGATAATGGGAGATTTGCTGCAGAATTAGGTAATTTATAGCCTTCAAATTAGCTTGACCCCAAGCCTGATCAGAATAGATTTTTCTAACTCTTATCTGAGTTATTAAAATTGTTGCTATTAATCATTGATTACCATCATTCACATGAAACTTCAAAAGTGCTATTCTTTGACTAGCCAGGTTTGTGGTTATTCAAATATAGACCAGCCTCCAATTATCTACAATAAGCAAAGATTCATATCATCTTCTTGGTTGTAACAGTTAGATTATGTAATAATCTGATGCTAAGTGGGTTTTGTTGGAATTGGTGCATCAAATTATGGTAAATACAGGGAGGTGCAGAATACACCTAGCTAAAGAAAACATCGTTTTTGCCAGAAAGCTGCCCAGCCTTCAATGCTGCCCATATCATCAATTTGACATCATGATTATAATATTTTAAACTTCATTACACTCCACTCATCTTTTTGCTTTCCACGCTCCATCATGACAAGTGTGGGTGCTGGTATGGGTAAATCCTGCGGTCTCAATGCATTGCTAAATGTGACAACAACCTCAACAAGCAACGGCAGCGGAGCGCAGACAGATCCAAAGGATAGAAACCTTGAAATACTGGGGAAACTCTTAAAACAAATTAGACTTATCGTGATGAGAGAGATGAATGAGGAGGACTTACCCTCAATGGTGGATGTGAACGAGGCCGTGAAGACCTTCAACACACACAAAAGGGCCTGAATATAATTGTCCCAGAAGAAGTCTCCTATTGAGGAGTGGATAATGGCGCTAGAGGAAGTCGCCAAAAAGAGCCTCGCAGATCCCGCTCGAAAGGCTGCTCCAGCAGTAGTTTCGGGTGCTTCACCACCTAAGAGTTATATGTCGGCCGTGGCTCCGCAAATAACAAAGACTGCGGTACAAATAAGAATCGACAGTGCTTAAAATTTGCAGCCGCATGAGCTTCTTTCAAAGGCATAACAACACATTAAAGCGCATTTGCAATTCAACAGATGCAAAGCAACAATGCCAAGGTATTTGTCCAGTCGGCGTCCCAGAGAGACACGGCGCTAAATATGCAATAACTAACAGAATTCAAAATTCTGTGGCAAGATTTTCCAGTCAAGGTTTTTGGAGTCCCACTGCACACAAGAACTGCAGGTGGTAGAGATGCAAACAACAACGCCATCATCAGTGAAATTGAGTCAGCAACAAAGGCACGTATTTCATTCCTGGTAATTAACATAATACTATGGCCCCATGGCAGAAAGGAACATCAGCCATGGAAGAAAAATGGTTACAATCGAGGATCAACTGTGGTCAGCCTCCCATCAGAGGAGATGTAAATAGAGGTAGTTTGACAGGACCTTGTAATTAATGATATGCCCTTCACCGCAGAAGTGTAGTCACCACGAGCACAACCAAAATAGTGTTACAACTGCAGCCACCTGGGACACACACAGGTGTTTTGTGGAAAGACAGCCTGGTGCAGTGAGTGCACAGATGCTCACCAAACTCGGGACTGTCCGAGGGAAAGAGTTTCTTGTGCAAACTGTGGCAAGTAACATTGTTCGTGGCAGGAAGCATTGTGTCGGACCTATTAGGTATAGAAGGGAAGTGTGGAGAAGGCTAGGATGGAGCTGTTGTCAAAAACGGTAGAAATATGGAACAAATAACACACCATGACCCTAGTGCAAACAGTCGGAACAACTGATGTTCAGGAATTCACTTTGGTCACCAGTAAGAAAACTGAAGGATCTAAAAGAGGGCCGGGACAACTGTGTAAGGTAGTCGAGGCCCCAGTGGCACCAACAATCCCTACCACAATAGCAACACCATCAGGGCCAATTCTTCGAACACCTTGCCCACTCACCCCAAGTGAGGAGGTGCCTTCTCTCTTTGATTTCTCATAACCTTGGTCTTATCAAAGGGGGAGTTAATGAATTACACGGCAATTTTATGAATTTATGGTTGAAAGGAATGTCCTCAGCATTTAGCCAGGCTGGTTTAGAGCGGCAGGATTTAGGGTTCTGTATTGTTAAAAGATTTTTCCCTTACCATAGCGGCTTACTGTCTTCATGAATCTATATAATGATACTGTATAGGATGTTAAACTAGAGAAAGTCAATACACATAACTAATCTTTCATTAATTGTGAAGTTGATATTATTGCACTCTGTGACAGTCTTAAAGTGGAGTTTTATTCAAACTGAACTCAGAGCTAGATACAAATGAAAATCTTAAAGTAACAAGCAGAGACATGACTGAAAGCCTCCTATTTATTTACAAGACTATGATCTCGTTCCCTCATTTCATACCATTCTCAAAATAGATCATGACCTGTCCTCCGACAAACACCAGCATCTCCGTCTATTTTAATTCAGCTTCATTTTAATGTTAGTAATTTTAGTTATTAAAAAAGTTATGATGCATGTGGCTTAGATGACTTACGACTGGTGTTCGAGTCGTCCTGTCTGCAGTCTAAATTTGACATTTAAGAATAGATTTGCATGAACTGGGCCAAGGCCTATACTTGGGTCTAATGAGTTGTGGAGGAGTTCTTGACATGTATGATGTTTAATATGGTTGGAAGAGCTCAAGCCTTACTTGTTAGGCAGCAGCCTAATGATAACCTGGTATGAGCCTGTGACACACTTTGACATAAAGGCCAACATCTAAATTTTCTTATTACAGAAAATAGTTTATATAGCACTTTGTGTCCTAGTAGGAGTAATTATCAACTCTCCACAAAAGATTCACAGACTCTCCTATTTCCTCACATGCTTCATCAACAGATATAATTTGTACCCAACTGCCAAAAGCATCTGCAATCCTCTCCACTCAACATAAATGTCACAGCTCTCTTAACATTTTTTAATGCTACAACCATGCTCCTATTAATATATGTCTACTATGCTTGTCCATACTTTATGTCAATAACAGGGGTACTTAAGAGGGTTAGTAGTCTGTCAGATCAATTGTTCAAGAAGTTAATAGGTGTTGAAGAGTTGGGATGCTGATAAGTCAATGTCAGATTTGAAAAAGTCAAGAGTTGAGATATTCAAAAGATAAATATGTAAAGGTATCAAGATCATTGATAAGATTCTTTAAGTACAACACCATAATCTGCCAAAATCAAGTCACCCAAAATTCCTGTTAAACATATCTCCCTATTTTCCTGGAACCTTCCAGTGTACTCACAAATAGGATAAGATAGAGTTTTATAGAAAAGAAATCTTTGGATAAGGTTCCATTCATTTAGAGTAAGCTCTTGATTCAAAGCACGCTAAAACAGGGTTAAAACACTGCAACTATACTAGTTACCAATTCTTTACCAATTTATCCATAAGTTAATATTTTTCACAACCCTAACATTATTATGTTGTTGGTGCAAGGATGATTAAATTTGAACTAGACTTTTAAAACTTAATACACCATTATTGTTCAAAAATCACAATTTTTACCATGCCCTAAACCCTCTCCCAAATCAGTGCTCGAAGTTTTACACAAAAAGATACAGTGAATTCTCAAGAATAATAAAACCAATAAATTTTCTAGTGTGTGGATGGGAAAGTCCATATATCCAGTGTTAAAGTTATGAGCTTGAGCAAAGATGTTGGTAAGAGCGGAATCAGTGTTGGCTGGCAGACCAATACAATAAGTCTTGAGTGAGGTTGTGAGAGGAAGATTCAAGTGGAAACAATTGTATTTAGATGTATGGTTCTGAGTAAAACCGAGATAATAAGTGTGAGATTAAGTGTTTGCATATCTTATCAACTGTGATTTTTGAACAGTTTTATCATTCTCCATGAATTGTAAGTTGTGATCCCTGTAGATGTAGATCAATATACATACACATATATGGACTAGGAAAATAAAGCTAAATACATGTGTCATTATTAGATATAAGAAAACTATAACATTCTTCTGAGACATAGTCATCTGATGGAATGCTGGTGTGAAATAAATGCTACTATACATTAAATTTTCAGTAAAAGATGTATTAATGACAGTGATATAGGATTGGGAATTTGAAATTCTAATTATGTTGTGATTAAGGTCTGAGTAGGTATGAGATGTTGAATATTCTAGGGATAGTGCAGAGGGTGGATAAGGATTATCAGAGCTTGACAATATGATGAATAGCTTGGTTATATTATTCTACATATCACAGTAGTAGATAGGACTTATATACACATATTTGGTACCCGCTATACAGTACATCACTGTCTATGCATGAAGTACTACAATCTTAATTCCATGCAATACTATGTCACATTACTCTACGCTATTGTATAGAGCTGCGCCTCAATAGTCGATCATAAAAATAGCCATGTAGGGCTGTGCAGTACTTGCATAGATGTGTTGTATCCCTGGCACTTGGCAGAGATAAATTTAGAGTAAATGCAATAATCACTTCACAAAAATTTAGCTTGACTTACAAATCAGTTATTGTTGGCATTCCAAGATTTATCATATTTCAACATCTAGTATGGTATGGGGAGTCTTGATTTCCTTAAAAATATATTGAAACAAACTTAGTTATACTAACTATCAAGTATTCTTAATGATTTACAAAGTTCTGAAGGGCAAATCTCA